AACTGGGTCGACGTGTTCGTCAGCAAGTGAATCCACCACTGACGTTGCAGGACCTTCAACATGCTCTTGTTGAGCAGTGGCGACGTCTTCCTCGGGTAGTGTTTACTAATGTTCTGAGATCCATGAGAAGACGTTGTGTGGCAGTACGAGACGCTAGAGGAGGCCACAACCGTTACTAACACTTTATTCCGATTGTTCTCCAAGTCTGTGAATTTCATTTTGGGGGGTACTGTGACATCACGAACGTTATCAATGTCAAGGACTTTCGGCGAGACGTATTCTTGCTTTCTGTTGATGTCAAGGTCGTCTGTGCACAACATAACACTAAAATAGTTGCCTTAAACCAAATATTAAAAATCTAGTCTCAAAAATCCCGAGTGTCAAGTTTTTAATTTGGCTGAGTATATAATGTAAATATATAATATAATCTTGAGGGTTGGGTGACGAGTACACTTTCAATCACAAGCTTTGTCATGGAGTCCAGTGGCATGGTTTCAATAAAATATTTGTACATGACAAGGAGTAGTGTTGCCTGGCTACCTTTTCTGTAAACAAAGCCTCAACAAATCTTTTTGTAACTTCTTTGACATTACTGCCACCATTGGTGTTCAAATGTAGTATCTGTAAAAACAAAGATTTTGCAGAGAGATAGAATAAAGAATATATTCTAGTATACAAGAGAATTGTTTAGTCTACAATTGCAAATGTTGCAAGAAGACTTCAATTTGATTATTGAGGAAGCAATGAAACGTCAAGTGGAGAATTGGCTTGAGGTCTGGGGGATTATATGTACCCGAGAATTTTATAAAATCAGATGATCCGAGTCTGAGACAATATTTCTGCTCTTTTGAGTGTTTAGCATTAGAGTGGAGTGAGGTCGAAAACAGTGCCCCTGCTTTGAATTGAATGTAGAAGAAAATAATTTGCTCGCGGGGCTGTCATGCCTGTGGTCTACATGTATTATAATTATATAAATAGGTCTATATAAAAGCTCCAGGGGGCCTACGGTATTTAAAAAAAAGAAAATTTAGACAATGCTAGTAAAATCATTATATTATTCATAAAATGTATTAAAATTGTAGTAGTAGGCCTAATAGTCTAGAGTAGCCTAGTGTTCATTTATTCGTCATGGAATAATAATTCAATAATTTTTGGCTCCAGAATAAAAATTCCTTTTTTTTACCATTACATGTAAGTCTACCGTAGTTTTGTAATCAAGATTTTTTTCAATTAAAGTATTTTTGATTGTGTTTAAATCGTACTATGGATTCGCTGAATTTCTACATCTATAAACTATATGTAGATATATGTTTGTATGTAAAAAGGTCATTTACTTTAAAATCTATTTCTCTAAACTTTAAATTATGGTATCACTTCTTTTATGTGAAATAAATTGTAATTTGTCCTTTTATGTGAAATAAATAGTAATTTGTCCCTCCTATCTCCCATTCCACATGTTCTCTCCCCCGCCCCGCCCCGCCCCGCCCCGCCCCGCCCAGCCCAGCCCATTTTGAAATCCCATAATTCCGTACGCTACATGGTACGAAGCCGAGTTAAGATGCGTTGACTGTACACCTAGATAAGATAAGATAAGATAAGATTTTATTGTATCGAAACATCCATTCAGGACAGCATACAATATAAACATGTACATTTATTTATAACAATATGACAAATAATATTTACAAATAAGACAAGGGTAATTTTAATCTAGCTTATAATATAGATTTACTAACAGGACAACAGTATGTAATGTACTAGTCCGGGAGCCCAATGAGATTTAACCAAAACAGCGGCGATACAGCGCTTCTCTTAATTAGCGCTCTGCTTTATACCTGACAATCATGCATTTTCATTATTTGTTTCAGCACTCACGGGTGACCATGGTCGAAAACTGCGGATCCGTGGACACTGAACTGGGTATCATGCCGTCATGGCTTAGCATTTAAGACGTTTAAAATCAGTTTACCGGTAAAAACATATACATATCGCTACTCTTAATTAGTCGCTCTGCTTTATACCTGACAATCATGCATTTTCATTATTTGTTTCTGCACTCACGGGTGACCATGGTCGAGAACTGCGGATCCGTTGACACTAAGCGAGAAATTTTCAACATTTCCATTGTTGCCCTCTTCCAAAATCTGGACTTCAGGTTGGAGTTGTATTTCAGTTTCAAATCCACAAATACCCGGAGAAAACCAACGAGGTTGGACAGGCGACCCTACTCCTTGCCACCTACAACCCGGGAATCGAAACCACACCAGTTGACTCAATGACAGACCTTATGATACAGTGCGCACATGCTAACCATTCAGTCACCCATCCCCCCCGATATGTTTGAAAACTAATTTTGGATCATGGTTAGATAAACGAACAAAAACTTACAGCATTTTAATTGTTAGTATCCTGACATTTGTTTTACCTTAGAAAACTAACGATCAAACAGTAATTTAATGTTAGTATTATGACATAAAACTAACGTTACATTAACGTTAGAAAACTAACGTTATATTAACGTTAGAAAACTAACGTTCGATTTACGTTACAAAACGAACCATAAACTAACGGTTAGAAACCTGACGTAAAATTTACGTTAGATTAACGTTAGAATTATAACCAATAATACATATGTCATTATTATGTCTGAATTCCGACTAATTATCAATTGTTAGAATGTGCACACACTGGTACAGTTATTTAATCCAGAAGCCTTCAAAGCGAAAAAATTGGTTAGAAAACCGTCATAAATTTTACATTAGATTTACGTCATTTTCTGACGTAAAAGTAAACATAACCATTATGACGTAAAAGTAACGTAAATTTAACCACAAAGTTTTACCACTATTGGACGCTAACAAAAATCTAACCAAAATGACGTAAACTTTACGTAAATCTAACCATCAACGTTAACTAGGATATTTGTATTTCTACGTGGTTATAAATTCAACATTCACAAATAATTTTTCACGGCATAATCAATCCATGCTAAAATGTCAGATTGATTATTTAGATTCAATCGGTGGTTTTGGTCGAAACTGTATTAAACCAAAGACGAAAATGTCTTAAACCAATACGGCCCACGATCATCGACATTAAGATAGTATTTATAATTATTTATTACCAAATTATTTTCTAAATATTGACTTATCTATTAATTGAAGCATTACAGCTAGACGGGGTATTATTAACACAGTATCAAATAACCAGTGGACCAGAATAACCAGATGGTAAAATCATCAGTGTGAATCGGTCAGTCCTTTTAAGGTAGTTCATGCACAGTGTTATTTCTATACTGTATGGTGAAACTAATGACTGCAGACTATCACGCAATAGATGCATCGCATGATTGACGAGACAAGAAATATGGTCATAATTAATCGAAATTAATTAGTTGTGTAATTTCTAATTACGTGCTGTCTGGTTTATACATGCTGGGAGATTGCAGTTATGTGTGGGGAATAAATAAGAAATTAAATGATTTTATAGTAAAATAAATTTATAAATGTATATTTTATCCGTTTTACAGTCAAACTCGTTTCTAAGAAAATTAAAAGTATCCTTCATTCTACTAACAATAAATTGAATAACATGTAATTGTTTATATTGTTTATATCAGGATACATAGAGGAATATCGTCATTATACATATAATCGGAAATACCATCGTACATTATGTCTTCCGGCTATTACTGTAACATGCATCCAACTAACATATTTTATGAACATAACAGCACTATTTACGATTACGAGAATATTTGTGAATTCGACAGTCTTATTTACAGTTGGGCGAGAAATTGTAACCATTTAAGTATGCTAATTAATTTTTAAAAAAGTCATTCTCAAAAAAATCACATAATCACATATTCAACAAAATTACTGCTGGGGTGGGGTTTACATATTTTATAACTTATCAACATTAACACTCTGGAAATGAAAGGGGCAGTACAATAGGGTTTAAACCAAGGAGGTTTTGGTAGCATTGGTCATCTTGAAATATTTCACAGCCTATAATGAAAGCATAATATATTATGTATATCTTTAATTGTAATATCACGTTAACATCTTGTATAGACACGGGAATATCGCTTTGTACGTCTTGTAGACACGTCGTAATCTAGGTCAATTTGGAACTAACAAGTGCTTTATATTAAGATATAGGCAAGTTGAGGGTGTAATATACAACATATTACGACGCCATTCAACAGCACATTGTAGAAAGGGAGCCACGGTGGCTCAGTGAGTAGGAAGTTGGCTCGCTACTCTGGAGTTCCCGTGTTTGATCCCTGCATTGGCCGAGAAAGTTCATCGGGATTTGAACATTCCACATTAATTAGAAGCAGGGATATCGTGTGTTCCAAAAACAAATCTGATGGGTCGACAGGCGGGCGGAACAAGGTAGCCTATATGAATGAAGCTTAAACTACAAAACAAATAAAAAATAGTCCACCAATTCAAAGTTATGATTATATAATTATAGTTCTGTCGCACTGATCATGACATTTTTGACGTTCAGTAAAATATATGCAATAAAGCTACTCTTGGTATCTTTCATACTAAGCATATCAACAAAGAAACTGGCGGTAGATATCCATGCCTTTAACCAGTTTGTTTTACAGTGTGAGGTTAATGTTATCGTCCATGAACATATCAGATTACCTGTATTATGGACTAATAGAACTGAGTAGTTTCTTGAATCAAATGAATTACAAACTGTTAAAAAATTTTGTGTAAACAACCGAAATACTCATATAATTATGTGTTTCAGTGGTTTGTCGATACACCCCCACTAGGTCCAGTCTGTCTACTCACTGGCTAATAATGACACTTAAGATCATTTCTCTAGTATCACTTTACCGGTTGTTTCCAAATTAGGTAGGCACGTACTGGCAAGTGTGCAAAAGCTGTTTTCTATCTTTATCTATAAGATGAGACCCGATTCGCGTGCTCCAGTCATATTTCCTCACCATCCAATCTAAAGCCAGAGAATTCATACAATCTGTCAGCTTTGGGATTTCTGAGAAAAACGTAAGCAACTCTGTATCATTACATCGTACCTTTCTGATAACGCCTTGGCTGCCATACATTAGACTCGTCTACGGACCACAAGAGCCTGAGTGTAGTTTAACATAGTGAAGTTATCTAAATTTACACCAATATTAGGCATTTTGGATTCATTAGTAAGTATATATGTATTATATAGTGTGCCTTTTTAAAACTTTTGTACTCATCGTCATTTTTATCAACCCAAATGTGGGATCATTCAAGAGTGGTCTATAGATAACATGTTGATTTGTAAGAAATTGTCTGACAGTTGCAATGTGAAATTTTATTGGTGTTCATCAAGTAGCCACGAAAATACTCGGGTGTCTAAATTTGAAAACGGACCTCTCTAGGGTACCCGTTTAAGTGACCGTTTTTTATACGCCCACATTGAAATGTGGTCATATATTGTCGCCGCCCCCGTTCGTCCGTCCGTCAGCCCAGCGTCCACAATTGCTTGTGGACGCTCTAGAGGCTACAGTTAATATCCGATTGACTGTAAATTTATGCACGGTATTTAAGGTCATGGTCCTTGATTACTTTGAAAAATGTTGTGGACGCTCTCGAGGCTAAAGTTAATATCCGATTGACTTTAAATTTATACACAATGTTTAAAGTCATGAGACGAAAAAGCTTATCCGATAATTACTGCCAGATTTATGGCCCTTGATCACTTTGAAAAATCTTGTGGGCGCTCTCGATTACTTTGAAAAATTTTGTGGACGCTCTCGAGGCTAAAGTTAATATCCATCCGATTGACTTTAAATTTATACACAGTGTTTAAGGTCATCAGACGAAGAAGCCTATCGATTTTCAACGATTTCCAATAATTACTGCCAGAGTTATGACCCTTGATCACTTTGAAAAATCTTGTCGATGCTTTAGAGACCATAGTTGCCTGGCAACCTATATTTTTAATTACTGGGACATTAATGTCCCATTGAACAATAAAACATGTTTTTATCTGGTATTATTCAGTAAGAAACAAAAAGGATAATCCGCGACTCATTTTATAACGATATCTTAATCTGTTGGGAGAGAGAGAGAGAAATGGGGTTTAACGTCCACTCGACACAAACTAGGTCATTTAAGGACTAACACATGGTTCAATTCTATTTCAATCATTCGCTTGCGCGTAGGGGTCTTTAGCAGTGGGAAGAAATCGGAGGACCCGGAGAAAACCCACGAGGTTGGACAGGCGACCTTACTCCTTGTCACCTACAACCGGGGAGTCGAAACCCCGCCCGTATGATACAGCGCCGCGTGCTAACCATTCGGCCATCCAACCTCCCTTAATCTGTTTGGGGTTTTTAATTTAAAAAAAATGATATTAATAATACGTCATGATATGGAATTAAATAGTAAGTGCAGGGGGGGCTGCACCACACATAATTTAAACAAAAAAATATACGGACAAGACAACACGCAGAAATAGCAAACAAACGAACAATTCAAATCAAAGGGCCAATCCCGATAATATTTTGGAGAATTAAACTACTTAATTTTGTGTTAAAATCCCTTAAAATTCTCTACCTTAGGGCCGAGCAACTAACTCAACATATGTGATATGTTTTCAAACAACTTAAACCCGCCAGTCTTTATCTGGAAATGGAGACCGGTGTCTCAAACTGTATTATGGGGTGTCTGGATAAAACCAGACTTTTATTTTATAAAAATAATGTGTAGTTGAAATTTACCTTTCGTTATCAAGTACAGCACATGGGTCATTCATTGTAGAGACCTCTAAAGGAACGGGGGTCGATTATCAGGTCACCCAACGAAAAAATTGATCTAAAATCTTAAAAGGGTTACGTGTCCGGATAAGGAATTTTGACGTTCAGGTCCAAACAACTCAATATTTTGAGCTGAAATTTTGAGACAAGGTAGATACACCATTCCTGTATGTTTTGGCGCTTAAATTTCATACGTACTCAGACTTTTATTTTTGAGACTCTGTTCAAATCGGGATAGTCCCTTTAAGTGAATTAATCCGGGGGCTAGCCGTAAGCGTCCACTGCGCTGTACAGTGATACAGACTTCATTCAAATGTGAAAACAATCAGGAATATAACCCAGAGTAACCACTGTGTAATGCCAGCAAGAGTCATGATCTGCTATAAGTTACAAGAAATCTGAATGTAAGCATATTGAAGTAAAAAATAACTAGGCTTATACATTGTACAAGTAACCACATCGGTAAAATACATAAAAAAAAAACAGGTAGTCTAAAACTAAATGTTCTACGTGTAAGTCAATTGAGAAACGTTTCAGTATTCAATAAAATCGAGGCATATTCAATACAGTTAGGGCACATGTTCCACCCATCACAAAAAAAACCCAAACAATACTGAATACAAAGAAGCAAATGAGAAAATGCAGACCGTCTCGAAAGACTGACGTCTGCTGAATGACGTGACGTAAAATGTCTGCTTAGTTTATGAAGTATGGCAGCACCTTGTAAATAGTTCAAAAGCTATATACTGTACATATATATATTCAAGGTTTTGTTTATCAATGAAAGAAGTGCTTGCTGATATCATTAAAAATGAAATGCAGAACTGTTTGTTTCTTTGTGCATTTACCCCACTGGATGTGAATACGAGTAATGTTATTACATGTACATGACTACATGTTTATCATTTGCAGTTCGGGTTTTGTTTATAACATACTCGGTCTAAAAAATATGTAAAGCATTTCCACGGTATTTGAGCAACACTGCCCACCTAGCTTTTCGAAATTTGACTCCTTTTCCCAATTCTAGAATCCAAGTCTGATTTCTGTGTCAAAGATTAGGAACCATAAGTATTTCTAATCAACTTAAAATGTTATATATGTATTAACATGACAGGTAGGTTTTTTCATGTATGCATAATTGATACTTGAATGAATCACGAAAAAAATTAATGAAGTGGTTTAAGACTATTCATTATGGGTTAATTTTTAGAAAAAAGAGGATGCGTGAAGCACCTTGAACTATAATATGTCTGCATCTAAATGGAGTTATCTGCCAACGTTTAAAAAGACGAATATATAAATTTGTAGAATTCTTAGGGTTATTATATATTTACGTGGTTATGTATAGCCTAGATGATAGTGTTTACAATCCGTAAAACCAATCGTCTTCCTTCAGTAAAATGACGTCGATTGTTCCACAATAAATCACTGAAGCAAAACAAACGTGTATGTATGATCCCATCCTCGGTATCCCCAGTGTACTCATTCCGTTCTACTCCACTATACCCTGGGTTAATCCATAGGGTTTCCACGATTTCAAATTATCTGCCCTGGCCTTGATTGTAGCCATTTACTGAATGATTATGTTAATAATGTATATATTTCTAATTCATTTATATTTAATTGTATTATCAAAATCTGTAGTATGTTTCGCTAATTGCAAATATGTATAACATCTATATGGTTGACTTTTGTTATTATTATTACTTTTTGTTTTTTGTCTGAAATGTTTCATTCGGTTATGTTTATTATTATTGAACTTATACTTGGCAATTTGATTCACACTAACTAGTCTACGATATCACGTGGACGTAAAACTCCACGAACGAACGATTCTCAATAGAACTCTTGAACCTACCTAAAAGTCTGGTCTTCGTTAATATAATGATATATATAATTTGTTGGGAATAAATACGCATTTAGAATAATTTAGACTTCTCTCATTTAGGCTAACTCCTAACCTTGTTCGATTGGAGTTACTTCCCTTTGCCAACTTCCTTTTCAATTAACGATTTATGCGATTAGTCGATAAAAATATGGCGGATAACTTGAAAACGTGACTCTCCCCCATAGATTAAAGATACATTATGGGAGATTTTTATAAGGAGTTAGCCATTCTTGCTATAACAGTTCAAAAATAGATGATGAAAGAATATATTGAAAATTTCAGTCAAATTACTTTATTCTGAACATAGTTATCACCAGTGTAATTTTTGACTAGAAATGGGATTGAATTCCATCTTCACCGATTCTTAGCATGGCCGATCGTTTGTTTGACAGGCGTTAACTCCACCTACATAATCTCTGCTGTCTTTTGTCTGGTGTCATATCCGAATTTGTGTTTTATCTTTTTGGATTTTTATAACAATTGGACAAAATGAGTGAGAGGGTAAATTTTCATTCTTACTTGTATTTTGGGCATGCATTAAATCAATTGAATATAGGACATAATATTATAATACAATTAAGACAGAAGACCTGTCCGTCTGTATTAGTCATCACACGGTCCCCAGGAATTGTATAATTTGTCATTATCTGTGTTTAGTTTATTGCACTTTAAATAGTTTAGATGTCATTTGTTAAGGCCAGTGGCGGCGCCAGCCGCCGGTGATTGGAGGGGCAGAGCTGGGGCAAAGTCCAAGGTTAAGGGGGCAAAGGCACGAGCTTTAACTAGGGGTAGGGGGCCTCCCCCAGAAAATTTTGAAAAACAGGTTGCCGGAAATGCAGCCTGGCAGTATTTCAGGCACTGATCGATGAGGTAAAGTGTCAAACGAACGGACTTGCGAATCACGACGAAGCCCACTCACGAGCGTCAAAGTAGGGAGTGCTCCCCCAGAAAATTTTTTAAAAAATAGACTCCCGGAAATGCTGTCTTACAGTATTCCCAGGCACCGATCGTGGAGATAAATAGATCTGACCAGATACCGTCCGTCGCCTGATCACTAGTTTATCCGACTAGAGAACAAAATGTCAAACGCACGGACTTGCGAACCTCAACGAATTCCCCTTGTGAGCGCCAAAGTAGCGAGTCCATTGGGGACCTCGCCAAGAAAATTTTGAAAAATAGACTGCCGGAAATGCTCTACAACATGCAAGTTTATGACTGAGTGGGGGTGTGGGATTTATTCACCGTAGAAGGTATTGATTACCGAAACGTATCACAAATACTTTTTTTATTTTCTAAAATTATTGGGGGGGGGGGGGCAAAAAGAGGGCAGACCAGATTAATGGGGGGGGGGGGGGGAATGTCCCCCCCCCCCCTTGCCCCCCCCCCCGCCCGGCGCTGCCACTGGTTAAGGCATCGCTCAACAGCGGCCTCGCTTCGTACAATCTATCATTTAGCCTCGATCCGGGAGTATGACGTCAACGTAACGGTTAATCTCCGCGCACGACGCCATTTAAAATTAAATCAGTCAACGAAATCCCGTTTAAATCCAAGCTGAATCCAAGCCATCCGTGGGTCTACAGAGTTGATTTTGTGCTTGTTGTGTAAATAAAGATCTAATTTATAATTTCTATGACATCTGAAGCCTAAATAAAGACTTGCAATAATCAGATTTAGCTCTTGCATAATGTATATTTAACCCAGGGGTTAGTGGAGTAGAACGGAATGAAACCACTGGGGATACCGAGGATGGCAAGATCCAGAAAATAATCTCCTGTTTTAGTATGATCCGTAAGACAAAAAATCTCAGTTATCAGTAGAAAAACTGGATAGTAAATGAAATTCGGTTTTTATTAAAAGTGGCGAACATGTGTTTCGAAACATGATACCAATTCAAAGTTAAAAATGTTTTTTTGGTATTCTCTGGTATTGAAAAGAGTGTTGTGATTATGAAACAGCTACCATGGTATTGTGAACATGTAACTTGGATTTTCGACTGCTGGGACAATTTCTATCTGACAGTTCTATTTATGGGGTGTAATCTGATAAAGCCTCAGGAATTCTGTTCATAAATACATGTATAACGCAGCGAATAAAAATTGAGTTATATCTCACGTGACATGGTTTGTATCGGGTTCTTCTGCGTTTTCAAAATGAAATGATTTTTATATGGGTGGTTCTATTTATCATAACCTTTTAATCGGAAGTCTACAACAAGCCCCAACAACGGGTTGCTGTCAGAAATGGTCGATTCGGTGCGACGTTTGAAAGATATTGTTATAGAGAATTTGATTTTCTACATTGTTGCCAAACTAAGTGTGTATAGTAGCGTAAGCCCACAGGCATCTAGGATCGATAAAACTTAGACATACTGTATGTCGAATTTTCCTGAAAATTATAGAATTGATCAAAAATGTGGGTGAATATTTTTTATTTCACAAATTGGAGTAATAGAGTCACTTATTTGAATTTAATAAACGCCCTAGGTTAATTATGCGGTTGATAAGGACTCACTATCAAGTATGGTTGATATAGTAGCATACACCACGGTTAGTCGGTCTGCGCCGGGCTTTATACTCCTTACTTTCTTGTGGTTATACATATTCCAGGCTTTATTTCAACGTTATTTATGTTAAAAGAATCCGTTTTATTAGAAATAAAATATGTTATTCACTCTAAAACGACAAATATCCTCTATGTATTAAAAATAGTTGACAATGTTGTTATTTCTATGGTATTTCATTTATTACATTATACTATTATATCTATCGCACTAATTAATAACAAAAGTAGATGACATCTATATACATGAGATTTTTATAGCAGTGGCGTATTCTGGTCAATTGACATTATTTGTGTACTCAAATAGGAAATGCGATAAATGAACGTCCGGACGTAAACCATAGAAATCAAGGCAATACTATGAGCATATTGTAAATAAAAGTGGCTAAGCCCATTTTATTCTTCACTACATAGAACTCTTGTTCTATAATACTGATTGTTTTTAAATTTTAGGAGCAGACAAAGTTGATAAATACTTAAAATACCACCACACCTTCGCTATATAGTTCATTTTCACAGTGACAAGTCACCCAAGGGGGATAAATACCAACATGCAAGGCGAAACCGAGGCTGACTTCGATGAAGACGAAGAAATGCCGTTGACAGAGAGGGATCTCGCAGACGACGCTCAGTGGAAGCTTATTCAAAAGAACACCTTTACAAGATGGGCAAACGAACATCTGAAAACAGTCAACAAGTCGTTAACAGATTTAGATTCGGATTTAGCAGACGGGTTGAGACTTTTAGCTCTAGTAGAAGTCCTCTCCGGTAATAAGTTCAAACATATCAACAAGCGGCCGAATTTCCGTACCCAAAAGCTTGAAAATGTGACGATGGTATTAAAATACCTGGAAGAGGACGAAGGTATAAGAATCGTCAACATTGGTGAGTTTATTTGAACATTTTTCATGTCAGTCATTTGGTTCTGTGTGTTCTATGTACATTTATTTTTATTGTCCACATTTCAATGACATACTTTACATACATATGGCCTACCGTTAGAAACTCAACACAAAACAACTGATCGCGCCGGTAATTGTGACTCATGAAAATGTCAAATCAAATCACAGTCGATGACATTTTCAGTTCACAAAAATTTCTATTACAGTTATAGTGGACAAAATTTTAAACCTTTATCTGCTTGTATGCACCTGGTGCACTCTCGAAAATCCATTGACACGCGATGGTTAATAATTCATAATCTTACAATACAAGCGTATAATCCAAGAAGTCTCCATTTTGTTCGTGCAGACGACAGTTGTCGGTGACTGGCAAAGTAAGTAAAGCCACAAAGGCACACCTTAACATTCATTCATTTCAGAATGAAAAATCCAACACCGGCTTTTGTAAGGCCAGACATTTTTAATTTCATGGTTTACGGATTTTTTGGCAGCACTTTAGGTTGGGTAGGTCAAAATAAAACTAAAAATAAATTTAAACATTAGATTTTTTTTTCAGCACAGGGTTATCATATTGGTTGGGTAGGTCGGTTAAAAAACCCCTAAAAACCCAAAATATTAAAAGTTTACTTTAACAGGTTTATTGTGAACAAAACAAAATATGAGTGTGACAATATATTATGTATCACTGTTAACCAGTAGTATAAGGTGTCACAAACTAGCCAGTTTAATTGACTTAACAAGTAATTTAAATCTTTAATATTAGAGGCATTAAGTGTTGACGTTGACAGATTATAAAAATAGTTTCTACTGTAGCCACAACAATTAATGAAAGATTTTAATGTCCTGAGTCTCTGTGAAAAACAGAGTTCTTCGAGAAGCTTTAGAAATTCAAAAACATAAGCCAAAATTAAACAGAGACTCAGGACATTATCTTCCAAATCTTTGGGTGGATTTACTAGACAATCAGTGAACACTAATAACTTTAATCAGGGAATGCTTTTCTTTCTTTTTAAGTGTTAATTGTTATTAATTAAGTGTAGATTGTGGTTTCTAATCATAGTAGGGTTTCCAATCATTGTTTATTTAGTTATTCTATATATTGTACCATATTTTGTTATTAATCATTTAGCTTGACAACGATACCTGTATTGTGTATCGAAACGTAGCTTGTTAATAAATTCAGAAGTAGTATATCCATTTAAGTGTGTATAGTGTCCGATGAATTTATTTTCACAAATGATCTTTGATTAATTCCTGTTTCTTGCCCCACGTGGAGGCACAGATATCCCGCCATTTTGAATGACAGTTCTCGTGGGATAGTGTCATTTCTCGCGAAATAACGCTCCCGCTCATGTCGTCTTACTGCACAGCACGCGATGTTTCCTAGTAAATACGGTATACATTGAAGCCAATGAAGGGTTCATCAAAATGAAAATTGATAAACAGTAATAAAAAAAATATATGACAACAAACAAAGATGTTTTTTTAATTTTTGAAACAGATACATGTATGCCCCCATTTCGTGTATGGGTCGGAAATAAAATAAAATTAAATTCTCAAGTCTCAAGTTACATATTTATTTTGTTATCGGGAGGTTCACGCTTCAGTAGGCGGGTCCGTAAAACGAAAAATCAAAAAAGTGTCGCCTAATGACACACTCTACTCTGTAGCCTGTAGGCTTATTTTGTTTGGAAAAGAGGGGTGATGGAAACTAGTGGTCACTCATCCCTACAGGCTTAATCACTGTTGGATTATTTTTAGAGGATTGTAATTTGGATACAAATCTTTTTTTACTATAAAATGCTTATTGCGCTGAAACTGTAGGTTTGAACGTTTGTTTAGTGAATTAAGTCATGGAATTACTGAATGAATAACAAGTTGAATGATACAATAGAAAATATAAAGCCATAAGAATAACGTTTACATATTGTACAATAATGTCAAGTTGAAAACAGTAATAAAATCATGTAATGTTTAGAAGAATTATTATATTAAGCCCCATCTTAGGCATCCTCAATATCCCCAGTGGTATCGTTGCATTCTACTCCAATAACCCCTGGGTTCATTTACGGGATAGACACATAGAAAATTATCCTCTCTTGATAAATGTGTTATTTTTATGGATCAATAAAAAAATTCAAATTTTATTGCAACAAAATCGAGCATACAAATATGGAGCCGAATTGTTGCCATATTAAGAGAAAATATAGTAGTTAAAATTGACAAATTATCATAGTCAAAATGGAAAATATGGTCATTTTAGAGATTTTTCACTTTTAAATATCACATAACACAAAATCACTATATTAGTATCAAAACAAACCAAATAAATCTAGTTATGTTTTTTTCACTTTCTACTTTTCGCCTTTGCAAATTTACTCTAACTTTTTCATCTTTGCATGTTTCAACTATCAGAATTTCTCCATTGTAATTTCCACCACTAAAATTTCTCCAATCGAACGGACAGAGGGTGTGGTTCCGGGTACAGCCGAAGTTGACGTCATAAGACATCAGTATTTATCGTCTCAACTAAAATTACTACTCCATTGGGTTATTCTTAAGAATTGTTCGATTTTATTATTTTTTTTATTTGGATAAATATTGCCGTCGCGTCCGTCCGTCCGTCTGTCGGTCCGTCCGTCGGTCCATCGTCCACAATTTCTTGTGAACACTCTACAGGCTACATTTATCATCTGATTGTTTTGAAATTGATATATGTTGTTTGCATTAGTGAGATGAAGAAGCCTATTTAATTTCAATAACTTCTGTTAATTTCTTCTGGAGTTTATGGCCCTTGTTTCACTTTGTTGCACCTTGTGAACGCTCAAACGACAAAAGTTATCAACCGATCTGTATTGAATTTATATGCATCATTTGAATTAGTAAAACGAAGACGCCTATTGAATTCCAGCAATTTCCGATAATAACATCTAGAGTTATGGCCCTTGTTTCACTTTGTCTAATCTTGTGAATGCTCTAATGACAACAGTTATCATCCGATCTGTTTGAAATTGATATGCATCATTTAAATTAGTGAAATGATGAATCCTATTGAATTTCAGCAATTTCTGTTAATTACGCCGTGAGTTATGGCCCTTGTTTCACTTTGTTGTACCTTATGAATGCTCTAACGACAAAAGTTATTATCCGATCTGTATGAAATTTATATGCATCAATTAGATTAGTAAAACCAAGAAGCCTATTGAATTTCAGTAATTTCCGTTAATTACATCTAGAGTTATGGCCCTTGTTTCACTTTGTTGAGTCTTGTGAATGCTCTAATGACAACAGTTATCATCCGATCTGTTTGAAATTGATATCTGGCATTTAAATTAGTGCAACAAAGAATCCTATCGAATTTCAGCAATTTCCATTAATAACGCTGTGAGTTATGGCCCTTGTTTCACTTTGTTGTACCTTGTGAATGCTCTAACGTAAAAGTTATCATCCGATCTGTATGAAATTTATATGTATTGTTGAAATTAGTAAAAGGAACAAGCCTATTGAGTTTCAGCAAATTGCTGTTAATTACATCTAGAGTTATGGCCCTTGTTTAACTTTGTTGAATCTTGAGAATGCTTGAACAACAAAAGTTATCACCTAATCTGTATGAAATTCATGTGCATCAATCATTTGAATTAGTAAAACGAAGAAGCCTATTGAATGTCAGCAATTTCCATCAATTACTTTTAGAGTTATGGCCCTTGTTTTACTTTGTTGAACCTTGTGAACGTTCGAACGACAAGTTATCATCCGACCTGTATGAAATTTATATGCATTATTTGAATTAGTAAAACGAAAAAGCCTGTCGAATTTCAACAATTTCTGTAGATTACTTCCAGAGTTATGGCCCTTGTTTTAGTTTTTAGAACCTTGTGAACCCTCAAACAACGAAAATTATAATGTCATCTGTATGAAATTGTCTATTAAATTCCCCTAATCACCTACAAAAGAATAATTATGTGACAACCCTTGTCGTCTGCTCGGACGATTTAGCTACTGTGGGCGTATGTTTTGTTGCCTGGCAACCTATCTTTGTTTAATGAGTTACATCATCGAACCTTGAGTTTGGCTCCATTGTCTTAATAGACCGGATGAATCTTTGATAGCACATCGACATGGATGTGAGCGAATTTCTGGCGTTATATCTGAAAAAAGGTGAAACTACAAAAGAGGTGCCTGACTGCCTTAATCAATTTAAAAAAAGCTTTACAGTTATTAGACGATGTAATAAATTGCAAACAAGATAAATAGGGCATGGTAGAGAGTATCATCTTTTGCCAGTAAGAGTTAATCCGCCAAAGTTATTTATTCCACAAGAACAGTTACAATATTTAGTTGATAAAGATCTCTAATGTGGGAGTTAAATAATGTGAAACTAGAAACAAAAGTTATATTAATTAAAATACAACTAGATACAAAAGTTGTATTAATTAAAATACAAGGCGGGCCTAATTAGGCCTATATTTATGTACCTCTCCGACAAGACTCAAGAGTTAAAAACAAAAACCTATATTATTGACAGTCGGGTGGTAACATGTTAGTAATAGTTATTTAATTTTAATCATTAGCATTTTATACTTTTGCAAAGCGGAATTTTTTTTTTTAAAACAAGTATCTGGTAACCAGTATGTAGGCCTAATAAGTTTTATGTGGTCTTCAATAAAAATACAGATGTGACATCATCATTTGATGTTGGCGTACAAGTACTTCAAATAAAGTACACCTTTTTGAACAATTACCTACAAATAACATATTACGTTAAATATTGTTTTATATAATTAATTAATCACCAGGTGTTTTTATAAGTCAAAATCCAGTAGGCCTATACCGGATCTATTCACTGGATTTGACATGCTTATTGTTTGAAATATATGTGTAGCCTATATTGTGTGTCGTGTCAATGGGTTTGTATTGTGTAATTGTTTATGTGTGATGCGGTCCTCCTGCTCTTACTATTCTCTCAGCTAACCAAAAGAACTC